TAATTCACGCAGTCTCGGCATCCACAAAAGAAGCACTTAAAATTGATAGAGTGCTAGCTCTATATTTTCTAACTTGTTTAGTGTTTCCTCTAGAAATCTAATTAGGGTAATTTTATGACAACCCAAGAGAGTGAGAGGGGGTGGCATGCGCTAAGGTTTTTTTAAGAGAAAACTATATATATATATATATATATATATATATATATATATATATATATATATATATATATATATATATTGACTTGATTCCGTGTGCCTTCTTTATTTTTCTTTATGCTAAATTTTCTCTCTCTTGAAAAACATGTCTTTGTCGCACCTCTCTCCCATATATGTAGGGAGAGGATAACTGAGGGTAGCAATAAGTCCCTTAAGGACTCTAGGTTGTTACTTTTTAATCCTCTAAGGATTAGGAGTCATTTTACATATGAGATTTTGATCTTTATCTTCAAAACATTCATCTTTATCCAATAAGGTTCATATTTATCCTCCCACCAAAATACCTTTCAAGCTTTTAATTAAACTTATTGTCCTAAAATCATTTTGACCCAATTAATTAATTTGGACTATCCAAATGAATTAAGTTAGATAATTTTAGGAGGCTCACATTAGGAAACAATTTTTCATATTACCCTTAGACATAAATTAAGAAACTAATTTTCATTTTAGGTTATTTACTTCCAAATTAGGAAACTTTTTATTTTAGAAAACTTTTCATTTTCGAAAACCTTTTCCAAAATAGAAAACTTTTAAAATTAAAAACTTTTTTCAACATCTTTGCTTCTCTTTAATCATGTGAATGCTTAAACTTATGCATGTGACTTAATATGCTCCTAAATATGTTGACAATGTATCAAGAGATAAAAGAGGTATCAAGAGTAAAAGACACCTCTTTTATCTCTTGATACATAAGTCAAGATTGACCTTTAGCAAGATATCATGACTACCTAATCCTCTAGAAGGATTAATTAATCCGTCATTACTTTTCACGAGCATGGTTACCATACAATTCATTCTTCATGTCAACATATCACAATGTGATCTCAAACTTGGTTATTAGTCTTATTCGATTATGATCACATAAATTTTCTTCAATTCTCAAATTTCTTAGCTCGTAGAGTAAATCAACTATGCTCTATTGGTGTACTTCTACAATGGCCATAGATTTCTTGAGCTGACATTCATCAAAGTCCAATGTGATAACTTCTTTAGTATATAAGGAATGACATGCTCTATCTTAGTCATCCACCTACCTCCATTAGATTCTTAGTGCACCCAACGAATCGTCCATGTGTAACCCTTTACTCGGGTCCATCAAAATGAGTGTCAAAGTATACAAATCATTTAATAAGAAAACCGTGATGACTTTAAGTCTAAGGACTAGTTATACTCATCTCGTATGGGATTCCCATGGATTAAACTAAATAAGTTCTTATGGCGAGTCAAGTTTAGTGATATATTCTTTAACATAAATCACATAAGTGTTTAGTTTGATATCACCATGTTAATAGGTGTGAATCTCCTATTGCTATAATATAGCATGAGAATAACACTCACAAGTCCGATTGCATTTAGTCAATGTCTATTCTTGACAATGCTATGACTTAGGGCATTTAATGATATCATTTATGTACATTAGACTTAACTAAACCAAATGGGTTCTTATGGCGAGTCAAGTTTAATGATATATTTTCTAACATAAATCACGTAAGTGTTTGCTTTGGTAGCATCATGTCAATATGTGTGAGATCTTCTATTGCTATAATATAGCATGAGCATAGCACTCACAAGTCCGATTGTATCTAGTCAATGTCTATTATTAACAATGATATGACTTGGGGCATTTAATGATATTATTTATGTGTATTAGTATTTGTCTCACATCTTTAGATCAACTACTAATGCAAATGCATATCATAAGGAATTTTATTTAATTCTACTAAATATATAAACATAAAACATAAGAATTAATAGAAAGACTTCTTTATTATTAATAAAATAAATGATACAATAATATAATAACTCAAACCTATCCAAACATGGTTGGATCGTGGGCACCTACACTAATAGCATCATCTTCTATCGTTGTTTTTAACATCTTCATATTTGAAATACAAATAGTAATAATCTTCTCATTTGTTTTTTCATATTCGACGACTCTTAAGTACACATCATTACTCGTCACATACATTCATGTTAACCCCATCGATCATGGTAGCATCATCAACACTACCAAAGGTAACAACTTAGATAACACAATCGGTAATAACTCCATCAACACCAATCAAACCATCCATAGCATTCTTATCAACAACTCGTAAGCATATCACCATGCTTACTCCGAATGCACTCCATTCTAGCCTCTAGCATTTCACTATAATTTTCCCTATCATGATATATAATAGACATTTTTCCTTCCATCCCAACATCAATAGCATGTGAAGTATCTAATTTAACATCATGATATTCTTTATACGTAGGACTAGCATTCAAATCAACACAATTGACTCCTCTACTAGCCTTAGCATACTCTAAAACTTCATCATGATAAAAATTATACAACTTGTTAAAATTAGAATCATGATTAATTAGATATAGCTTATCAAGATATAAGCTCGATGAGCTAACTACACTCACAACTTCCACCAAATTAGCTCTTTTATGGATCTTCTTTTGTTCAAAGAAATCACCATGGTTGATGACATTCTTACCTCGATCATGTGGATGTCTAATTAAGATTTTCCACCTCACTTTCTTGATTTCCTTTACCATGTAACCTTGAGGGTTAATGTCGACAAGTTTTGGACTAGCAAACTTTATCACTTGAAAAGGATCATCTTGCACACATGTCACTAAAATGATCACAACATTTAGTATTATACTCTAAATCGTACATTGTTTAATGCGTTGGAAACTAGATTCACACATATTTTTAATAGTATATAGTTTACCTAATAATTTATTCGAGTGATTATATAGTTTTGCATTTGAACTTGAAACTAAAATTTAAAACTATCACAAGCTTTATTCCAATGTAATTTTTTACTACCGAGTGAATCTTCTCTTTTTAGCCTTGACATATTCTGCTAAATATATATCCACAAATCAATGTTTCTTCTGTCTTTATGTGCTTGGATAGTGAAGTATCATCATACACATTGAACTTCCTTTTAACAACCTCAACGAGACTTTTTCTCGAATGTCAACATCGTGTAGGAATGTTTTAAACAATTTTCTAGCAGACCCTATGCTCCTCTAAATCAAATTCATGACTCGCTATTGAGATCATTCTTGGTTAGCTCTTTAGTGGCAGCATCATCTTTGACTTTATTATTCAAAATTTTAGTGTCTACGATATTGTCAATATCGATAGCATCGTTAATGCCTTCATTAGAACTTTGGATGCTTTTGTCACCAACAAGGTCAACTTCTTTAACCTTTTTATAATCTCCACCTTCTTCGAAAATATCAGCTCTAAAACCCATAACTTGTTGGAATTTTTCTTCTTTAAGGTCATCTACTCCACTCTTTATGAACATAGAAGTAGAAACAACTTCCTTTTGCTCACCAAAATAAGTTGCCTAAATCTCAATCTTTGTGGACAACAACATAATTTTTACTCTATTGAAGGAAAATGTGTAAGTATTTTGGAAGCCATCATGTATAACTTGATGATCATATTGTCAAGGTCTCCTTAATAATAAGTGACAAGCATCCATTGGCATCACATCACACCATACCTTGTCAATATAGGTTTTGCCAATAAAGAATGGCACCAAACAATTATTCGATACACGAATCTTGTTCCCCTTTCGTAACCAAGTCAATGAATAAGGATGGGGATGAGCTACTATCACCAAATTCAATTTCTCTACCATCAATGAAGGCACTATGTTTTTCCAGTTACCTCCATCGATAATCAATTCACACACCTTACCATTTGATGTGCAATGGGTGTGAAAAATATTATGCCTTACCTAATCATCTTCGACGACTATATCATCACTCAATAATCTTGTGACACCCATCTCTTCAATCGATCAATTATGCAAAGGTAGCAACTTCGACTCAAGTACTAAGCCGATGTCGATTTAGAGTTGCTACGTCCCATGGAAAGATTCAACAATAACAACAATCAACATAGCTCTAAGTCAAAATATCTAAAGTGCAAAATAGCTTCAAATAGACTCTAATCGGTTATCAAACAACCATAATCACAAACCTAATTTTCAATCAACAAGAACCTCCCACAAAAACACACACAAATCCAAAATCACCAAGCTACAAAATTTCCAAACTCGAATCTAGGGCATAGGCATTCACCAAGAAAAACAAATCAAATTTGATTAAAAATTTTATACAACATAGATACTATCCAGAAGTAAATATTTTTTTTTAATTTTTAATTTTTTTACAGGAGTTAAATAAATCCTTTAAATAGCTACTACCAAAAATTTGGATAAAAAAAAATTTCTAATTCTGGTTATCAGCGTGAAAACTGAAACAGTTCAATTTAGAATTTCAGCTAGACTTGTAATTATTAAGTAACAAAATAATAAAATAAAAGGAAGTCCCGATGGCTTACCTTAAGTGGAGTGTACCATCTGTGGTTATTAATGACAAGGATGGCCATTATCCAATACTACTACTTATCATGTCACCGAACTTCAGCAAAAATCACTTGGGGAATATGTAACTCGTACCCGCCTAAATAACTACCCGGAAGCTAAGTGGGTGGACTGGCCGTCATTCTTTCCTAATTCTATAAATAAATAGTCCCATCATGCCAGCTGCTCTCTGTTCGCTTCTTGACTCTCTCAATAATGCTACTAGTTTTTAGCACTGCCCGCAGATCACTGTATACCCTATCTATATATCCTACATTGAGCCTCAAATGGTAGACATGCGACGAACCTTCATTTTTTTTTCTTTTTCACTGAATTATTCTAGTGCTGTTTCAAAGACAACAACGGACTCTAATGTCTGAACACAAAACAGGTCTTATGACTGACAAGTTATCACAACCAACCTCAGTTTTTGGTTTAAGGTTATGGGTAGTTCTTGGTGTTTGTGTAGGGACAACCATTGTGTTGCTGCTTTTCTTTACCACTCTCTGGCTTGCTTCAAAGAAATCCAAAAAGAGTATCGGCAACAAACCCAAAATCCAAATTGTGTCTAAAGAGATTCAAGAAATCAGATTCGACCAACCCATTAAGCCTAACTGGGCACAAATCCAAATACATAAATTTCAAGACCAGGAAATGATAACGAGAAAGGAAAGGGAAGATTTTTTGATGCTTATGCCACCGGAAGAGGAGAGTCCAATGAGGTATCATGGGATTCAGGTTGATATTGGTAAAGGGCATTTTATTTCTTATCCTGGTTCTTCCGGGGAAGCACAACGTGGCGGTGGCAGTGGTGGTGGTGATCAGGCAGCTGCTATGATGGTGCCTGATGTGTCTCATTTGGGATGGGGACATTGGTATACTTTGAGAGAGCTTGAGGTAGCTACTAATTGTTTTGCTCCTGAGAATGTTATTGGCGAGGGAGGGTATGGGATTGTGTATCATGGTGTTTTAGAGGATGATAGTGATTTTGCTGTCAAGAACTTGCTAAATAACAGGTAGCCCATTGAAATTTTAATCACATGTTTATTGTTTTGAACTGTATTGGTGTTTGGATTTGAGCTCTAATTTTGAATTAATTTCCTGAGTATGATGCGTCTTTTTGAGTGTTGCTACGTTGATGAATTGGTTATTGATAGAAATGTTCAAATATATGTTGACTAACAGGGGACAGGCTGAGAGAGAATTTAAAGTTGAAGTGGAAGCCATTGGAAGAGTCAGGCACAAGAATTTAGTAAGGTTGCTTGGTTATTGTGCTGAAGGAGCTCAGAGGTACAATCTTGTCCGCTATTTAACCCTGCCTTGTTTCTAGGTTCAGTATTTGTGGTATTTCAGAATGAAATTAATTTGTCCCTGCCAAAATAATGTGTTTATTGTATATTGTCAAATAATTTTAAAAACACTTGCTTGTTCCTTGTATTTTAGGATGCTCGTGTATGAATATGTGAACAATGGAAACTTAGAACAATGGCTTCATGGTGACGTAGGGCCTCGCAGTCCTCTTACATGGGAAATTAGGATGAAAATCATCTTGGGAACTGCAAAAGGGTATGATCCTAATGCAGTTACAATAATTCATATAGAGCTTCTATAAATTCTGATTGCTTGCTCTTCATCATGGGATTTGAGGTAACAAATGAATACTGATGCAGGTTAACTTACCTTCATGATGGACTTGAACCAAAAGTTGTTCACCGTGACATAAAATCTAGCAACATACTACTTGACAAGCAGTGGAATCCCAAAGTTTCAGACTTTGGTCTTGCCAAACTCCTTTGTTCTGATAGCAGCTACATTACAACCCGTGTAATGGGAACATTCGGGTCTGTAGACTCTCTCTGGGTGCTTACATTTGCTTTGTCCTAGTGTGGTAGAGAAGTAATAATTTTTCGTCCTTTTGTAGATATGTAGCTCCTGAGTACGCAAGTACAGGCATGCTGAATGAAAAGAGTGATGTGTTTAGTTTCGGGATTCTTATTATGGAAATTATCTCTGCAAGGAACCCAGTGGATTATAGCCGGCCTCCGGATGAGGTTTGCGCTATATATTGCTGTCATTTTGTGATGATATATTCAAATGAGCTAAATAATTAATCCTAATGAAGTCTTTTCCACCTTTGTTCTTCTCGATTTGTTTAATTAAGTGAAGAATTTTCAGGTGAACTTGATTGATTGGCTGAAGAAGATGGTTAGTAACAGGAATCCAGAGGGGGTATTGGATCCCAAACTACCTGAGAAGCCTACTTTGAGGGCATTGAAGTGGGTTCTTCTTGTTGCTTTACGCTGTGTGGACCCAAATGCACAGAAGCGACCAAAAATGGGCCATATTGTACACATGCTTGAAGCTGACGACTCTCCCTTCAGAGAAGTATGTATTTGATCTAGTTGACAATTTCAGTTCAAATCACATGTTTTGGCGATGTGCCATAATTTACAGATGTCCTCTTCAACATTATATAAAATCATAAATTTCAAGCTGGCATTGCTGGTTAGTTAACAGTCATATCAAAACATAAGAACTCATGAACCTTGCCAAATGGAGCAATGACTTGGTAAATAATGAATTGTTCAGCATCCGACTTCTGAGCAGCTATAGTTATCGGGAAGATTCAAGAGCTACTTATCTTCAATTTCCTTCATGTATGTAATGCCACAAATTCTTACATTTCTTTTTCCATCTGGTTCGTTCATGAGTTTATGTCCATCCCATGGTTTAATGACCTATTCTCTTCCCTCCTTTTTCCTTATTTTAGATTGGTTGAAATCTGTACTCACTAGGTGTACTAAGATAAAAGGTTACCCATGGCTTTATACTTTGCAGCTATGTAAAACAACGGTTAAATATTTCAATTCTCTTTGATGCTAATTTCTCTTTCAAATAGTCTTGATCTTTTTCCTCATTCAAAGTGTCAATATGTGGTTTTAGGACTGTAGAGGAGGAAGGGACCTGGGAAGCACACATTGTGACAGTCCCAAGGATGGATCGATAGAGAAGCAGGTGACAGAATCAGGTGATGGAAATTAGTACTAAAGCCGGTTGCATGCTGATGAGGCAAGAGAGAGACCATCAAGAATGCCTTGAAGAAATCCATCTGGGAGATTATACTGAGCTTGATGAAGTGGATAAGAAACATTTTTCCGCCAGCTGCTGCATATAGATGCTGGCCTTGTGCAAAATTCCTACTACAGTATCCAATTTTGTGCCTAGCACTTGCGTTTCCTTTTATTATCTGTAGCTTCTGTGGCTGCGCAGTATATGCTTCACAGGAAGATTCAGTTCAAATGTCAAAATCAAGGGCCTTTGGTTTATAAGTATTGAGGTCTGTCATGTAATTCACAGGCAAGAAGTTGCTTGAGTCGGTCATTGTTAATAATAATAATAAAGATTGTCACATATTACCCCTTAAATCTTCTATAACTTTTGTTACAAAGTATCTGAGTAGACTGATATGAGATTGTTGAGGTCTTTCTTGTTGCAGAGTTAGCACATGTAGTGGTCACAAACTGTCGAGTTACATGCCAAAACTCTGAAGAAACTGGTGATGCTCATTTGAAGTAGCATGAAAATTATGAACGCATAATGTATCAAATGTCAGCATCAAAGTTGTTATATTTAATGTGTAAGACAACTTTTCCAGCTAAGTAGGTTGGGGTCGGATCATATTTTCGTCAGATCGTGTCTATCGAGTAACATGGCTTGCTAGTTGCTAGTCCAATATAGCGGCGACTTAATACTAGCGGCAGCGAATGTTAGCCCTGTCTTTTTCTAATCTTTGGTTCCCCTCCATATGGCTTGCTGATCCTGCCCATTAAGCCAAAGTACAAGAAAGTAACCCTTGTGACTCGATAAGTTCTTCTGTAAATTGATGCCGACTGGTGTTAATCATGGAAGGTCACCTCAGCCAGAAGCCATGCTCGGTCTGCGGCGAATTATCTTACTGTCGGTGGACATTCATCAATTTTTTAAAGAATACTTGTTTTTGCAAGTCATTTTGGGTACACTATCAGCAGAAAACTTTTACCCCAGAAACAGCAACAAGTAGCTATATAATTTTTTCCCCAGTCAGGGTTACTAATGCCACAGAAGTTTTGAAGACATTGTCAAATGGTGGGGATTGACAAAGAAATTTGCTTACAGAATGCATTAATGTCTGTACTTGTGGAACCACATGAAGTTCTAGTTGTGGATAACATGGCAAGACTAGAACTTACTTTGCTGACATCCCACATGTCTACCAGCTATAAATTCAGGGACTACCAGCTATAAATTCAGGGACATCCGCATGATTTTTCATTCAAATTGAAGTCGTTTTCTGTCCAGTACTCCCCATTTATGTTCTTTTCACATACAACATTAAATGATGCTTTTTCTGTTCATAGAGGTGCAAATTAAATCAATTTCAACTTCCATTTCTCTGAAAGTGCTAAGCAAAAGAAGTTTGTTCTAGATTATAGAACTGGGTGCAAAACATTGACCTGGATGGATTATCACTTATTATCAGGACATCAGGAGGTTATGTCTACAAAACAGAATGCTCTTTCACACTTTATTTATACCACTAGCCACGCGTGCTTTTCTTAGTTAAATTTGTTTTTTAATTTTCTTTTTTAACGGTCAAGATATCTTCGAGCTAACTTTATTAAACTAAGATACAAACTAAGTTTAGGGATGATAATTTGTCCGACCCCGACGGAGCCCCATCCCGTCCCGCTTCGATCAACGCAAGGACTCCCCACGTTGATCGAGGAATAAGGCGGAGTAGGGCGCCTCATATTTATTTTGAACAAGATGGGATAGGGATGATATTTACCCATTTGGTGCTCCGTTTACTCTATTTCATCTCTAAAATTATAATTATACTTTATATAAAATCTGTGACTATTGACTCTTAGGGTTTATTTTCTAAATGAATTATCATTTTTTTTACTATAGTTTAAAATTTAATAGTCGAATGAGACAAGATGAGATGAAAAAAAATTAATTAGATACCAATGTCTCATGAGGAATGCTCATCCCTGTTTGAGGCAGAGATGGTATAACAAATTTTGCTTCGTGTGAGATACAGGGTGAGAATGGGACAAAATTTTTAGGAGTGGGGAGGGAGCGGGGATGGCCATTGCCATTCCTAACTAAGTTCCTTCAGGATCTAGTCTTGAACAAGCTCTCTATACATAGCTGATTGTGAGCATGTGCTTGCAGTTTGCCTGCCTGCCTTCCCGACAGTCCGGAGCACAACACCAACTAACAAAGAAAATGACATTCCATATGGGTGGGGAACTACGGAAGGCAATAAATTTCATTTAAAGTTCAGGTACCTTTTTACGCAATGCACATTTTTCCTATATAGCCTATACTACGTTAACTCAGTTTGTGATCAGTAACAAACTACAGACTAAAATGCAGGGAATTACAAGTCATAATTAACAATTTTGAGATAAATTTTTATTGGTCCATTGCTATTTTGTTCTTGTCAAGCAATAAATTTCACCTGACAAGAGTCACATCTACGCAAGAGTCTGCTGTTAAGCGAAATTACTACACTAAACTGGGGTTGCTATAATGCTGATGCCTTCAACACCAAGGATTGGACTTCAATGATACATTTTTATTGTTCCATTAAAATCCAATGGTGTAACAGTCATCTACATTGTAAGAGTGCTAGTATCCTAGACTTCCCTTGACACTGTATAGATGCTAGTATCCTAGACTTATGATGCAGACTAACGGATTTTGAAATTCATAGAATGATATGAGCACGACAAATACTGAACAAAAATTGACAGTTTAATTTTAAGGTTTTTTGGATCTATTTTGATGTCAAATGGGCCAACCGACCAAAACACATGGGCTTTGCCAACGATGTAGAGGTGATTTTTTTTCAAAAAACATTGTTTAGACTCTCAAAATCAGTTTTTACTGTTTTTTGGGATTTTTTCTTAATATTTTCGAATTTTAGTATTTATTTTTTTTTTGAATTGCTTCAGGATTTTAACTAAAAATTTACTATTTATGTTTGATTTTGAGGCTGAAAAACACCATTTTTTGATGGCCAATAAAGCTTTGCTCTAGTATATCTCAATTTATTTCAATTTTTGACATTCCTTGAATCAATGAAATTAAAACCTATTTCTCGATATTTATACACAAATCAACAGATTATGAGACATTTATACACAAATCAACAAATTATGATAGATCGACATCTGAATTTTAAATCAATGATAATTACCATTACCTTTCTTTTAATGAGTTTCTGTTAAGTCAACTTCCCTTGAGTTGGTACAAAGATTGCAGTATGCGGGCACATCTATGCTGAGTCTCCCGCATATCTATGCTGAGTCTCAAATGGAACCCAGCTGGGGGCCTTATATCAGTATGCATATTTTGACAGAAATGTACCTTTTGTTTTGTTATGAGGGATAATTCACTCATGCTACACTGCACATCAGCATAATTATAATTCCACATAAATAGACTTGAAAGAGTTCGAGATAGCTATGCTTCAACATTCTTCGCTAATGCCCATCAAACCTGTAACTTCCCGGGAAAAAAATTGCCATGCACTTACAAATCAAAGCACAGTCATCAAATAATGGAACGTGTATGACGTATAGCATTATTTTATAGACCGCAACCATTGATACGAGGACACAAGTAAGACGATACTCAACCATAAAAAAATATTTCTGAAAGGTTCTTAAAGTAATGAGTAATGAACAAATCAGCATAACTACAATCATGATAAGAGTGTAATCATCAAAATTGTCCCGAACAACCACCGTAGTTGGACAGGTTTGCGATCCAAGGAAGCGATGTTGGAAGGATTGCCACCAGGAACTTGTGAGTTTCCCCCGGCAGCAGCAGCAGGTGGAGGGGGTGCAATTGGTGGAACATCACAGGTACCAAATGTAGAATTTGCCTGCCCATGAATGACACATTATTGGAGACAGTAGAAGTTAATCATATCAACTCGACAAATTATCAACTTATAGTTTGTGGGTCAATCTCAAGCTTTTATATCCTTGCGAGACCTTTATGAACATATTCTTGAAAATCTATATGCAAAAGCATGACATGCAGATGGGCAATTTGATAAGAAATATTATGGAAAAGCTAACCCTAAATGATAATTGAAGCAAATAGTGGTGGTAACATACCCTGCAATAGGCAATATTGTCACATCCACAAGTAAGGTGTCCATTTGCTTCATCCACAGCTTCTGGGGCTCCCCCACCATCACTTCTCTGGAACAACAAATCAAACACATCAGTAGGAAAACTTCTTTGCAATTCTGTTTCCTATGTTTAAGAATTGTTGCAAATTTGATTAAGTATATCTCGTCTGTTTTGACAATCTATTAAATACAAATCAACGAAAATACCTGATAAAAATCAACAGCAATGAAGTTTGGCCACCGTTTCCCAGCTGCTTCTTGGCAAGTGTTGGTCATGCTAATTAGTGGAGCTGAATTGTCCAAGCAAACTCCTGTTATATTCGGATTAGTTGGAAAGTAATTCTGAAGAACTAAGGATATCGTTTTTGTGTTCACAGGAGGTGATTCAGCTCGATTTGGACAGGAACCTGCTATCATCCCACCATTTCCATCTGCATTATTCAATTCACCATCAAATGATTTAAATGATCACTTACATATCCACGTTAACCGTGTCTTTTCAAGCACCTAAAACTCAAATTTAGTAAACACATTTTGACAGGGCATGAGCATGAACTCACATTGATTTTCAACTACATATTTCCAATTGTAGGCAATTCCTTCAGTAGCCTCTTTATTTGATTTGGAAGTGAAGACCACCAAACGTTGATTCTGCTGCACCATTTCATCAACAGTGGGCCAATCTTCACCATTTTTAGGCATCTTTGAAACAGGAAACCAGTATTTGCTAAGGCCAGATGCATTAAAAACCTTGGTCAAGCCTTGTGGGGATGTCACATAATCCTCAATAAAAATGGTGACAATATCTGATGGGTTTGCAGCCAAAAAGGTTTCAATCTCTTTCAACGATTTAATTGCAGGTTGCTGGAGATAATCACAGTTGGTGCACAGTCAATTTAAAAGAGAAAATGACACTCTCAAGTATGAAATGGAAGCCAGTAAAAGTTAAGCAACATGGAAGGATCAACTTACAAATGCTGTGTAGTTGTAACAGTTACCACCAAAGGAGTGACATAACCAGATATCATTCATGAAATCATACATATCTAGCATAAGTCCTCGAACCCCATTCTACAAGAAAAGTACAGTTCTTAGAATAAAAAAAAGCCAATCATAAGAGCTTCAAAAGTGGAACAAAGATGTGGTTAAGATTTCACATTTAGCTTAGTTAAGCATTAAATTGTTACTTCAATTAGCGGGAAAGCGTATAATTTTAGTCCAAGATTCCAAAACAATACCAAAGCCTCAATGCTTAATTTTCAAGCAAAGAACAATGATCATAGATAGGCCAAATACGCAATGCAATTATGCAGCAATTACCAATAATGGACAGTGCATTACCTTTGTTTTGATACTCAAATACCAAACTTCTTTCCCTACAAAACTAACACATACCCTCTTGGCACCTAAATGTGACACGTGTCAATATGAATCTTATATCACAAACCACTTTCCCTACAAAACTAACACATGCCCTCTTGCCACCTAAATGTGACATATATCGCGAAAGGTCGCATTCCAACATAAAAAAAGAAAACAAAGCAAACTACCCTGAAAAGGTCTAAAGAGAAGTGTTTTTTTTTTTTTTTTTCCTTTTCGGAGAATTGAAAATGTCAAAAACCGGATGCAGAGATACAGTCTCTTACCTTAAGTTGACTAGTAATCGTGTCTTCTTGATTTCTAGGAGAGAGCAAAGGTGAACCCGTATCTGATTCAGCATCCACAAGAGCATAAGAGTTGTGTGTTGTTAACCATGAATACTTATTGAATGCCAGACCTTTGACCTAACCAAATGCAATTCTTTTCTGATCAAAACATTAAAATCCCAAAATTGGAAGCAATTAAACACCAAAGAAAGATAGAACGAACTTTCGATGTTGGACTCAATGGCTGGATCTTGGTGCATCTCTGTCGGGTATTACCATTAGCAGAACAGCTTTGACAACTTAATCCGGCATCACAGCTGCTGTTAGATGAACATGTCTCTCCGATCTGTATCATTGATCATAGAAATCAAGAACATGAAAGGAACATGAAAGAAACATGAGCTTCTTTTTTTGGCCGAAGAAAGATAATTAAAAATAGTAACTTGGGATACTGAGGAAATTAAGACCTTAAGACAGGAAGAACCGGCAATGAAGAGACAGAGGGCAATGAAGAGAAGTTGGATAGAAAGAATATTAGAGAAACCATTTGATCCCTGCAAAAAAAGAGTAGGCAACAAAATGTGTTTTATGGGGTTTATGGTTTCAAACCAAAAAAATAAAAAATAAAATTCATATATGAATATATTCAGAGGAGTTGGATTGGCGATCGAGAAGATTTGAGCTTGCCTTCATTTCCGGATTTCTTTATATTGAGAGAGGCAAAGAGGGAGAGACAGAGATATATGGGGGGCTGTGATTATTTATTTATAAAGACTTAAAAAACTTGGGGAATGGAAATTGGGCCGATAACTGGAAAATGGACAAGGAAGGGAAAACATAGTATTTGCTGCTAAGAGAGGGAAACAAGAGCTGGTTCGTTAGGTTCGATGTTACTTCTTTGTCATCTAGTGGTCTGGATGTTTCGTTTTGTATTTTTTTTTTTTAAATGTTTTCACACCTATTCTTAGTAATTTTATAATCCTTTTAAATAAATAATACTCCATCAGCAATGGGTGGTTATGGTCTAGTGATAAAAAAAAAGTTTTGATTTAATCAAAATTTAATTTAATTTTTATTATCTACATATAACTAGATAATTAGTTATAATTATTTTTTATTTGATATTTGGTCTAAAAAGAAATTCAATAGTGGATGAAAGGCTAAACGTATTATATCGCTTGTGTAATTTAAAAAATGATTGATTTAATCTCAATTAAGGTGAAAGTTAATCCAATTAGATCTAATTATCCGTATCTATTTTTTTAAAAAAAGTACTCCCTCCATTTTAAATTTTAAATTTTAGGCACATATTAAAAATTTATAATTAATTACATGCTATATCGTCCTTTTAAAATTACTTTACATTATTATTTTCATTTGAATACACATAAAAGAGAAATTGGATTGAAAGAATTAAAATAAGTCATAATTATGAGTATAAATATAAAACTAAGTGATTAATATTGTAAAATTTTTATGATATGCAATAGTTTTGTGACATTTAAAATGAAAGATGGACAAAATTTTGGACAATGAGAGAGTAATATTAACAAAAATATTTAGATTTGATTTACGCTAAATTTAATATGATTCATGGGGAAAAAAAAGGGTGTGGAAAACGATATGATTGCAGCCCCCATATGTACTAAATAAATTGTTTTCTTAGTTAGTTCCTAGCCATCTCCTATCAAATATATATTTTTCATCTCAAACAATAGTTATTAGATGAGACAGAGATTTTGATTGGATTGAGAACAAAAATGAATTTAGCACGATGTTGATTTTTATCCAATTATATAATTTTATATATGTTCATTTTGAATTTGAATAGCGTAAATTAATAATCTCAAAGAAGGAAAAGAAAAACCCAAAAATAAAAAACACACAACAACATAGATATTTAATGTTTGATAGTCTGAAGAAAGAAAATATTCTCAACAAATAAAAAAAAACAACAAAAGAAATATAATATGTTATTTTGTGCGAAGAACTGCCAATTATACTTATTTTTCAGAATATTTAATTAGTAAACGAATCATTTGGAACTCAAGTTGGAATATTTGAGCTGGAAAGATCAACCTTCCCCTGAGATACTATATATATATATATATATATATATAGTCCTTTCCCTTTGCAAGTTCTTTGATTTGTATATTGGAACTTCTGACTATTCTTGAGAGCAAAAGCATTAGTCATGCACGCATGCAAACTATTCAAATCCTACGGAACTCGAGAAAGATTTCGATACATTAAAAAAAAAAAAAATTAAAAACCAGCCTATTTGTTGACATTTACTCGTAGTTTGCTTGGTATAAGACCATGTGTTCCTTGCTAGTATAATTCTCATTAAATTACTTTAATTTCTTATCTTTTTTCAATAAGGAAAAAAATAAATAAATAAAACCAGAAACGTGCGAGCCTAGCTATCCAACGTAGCAGTCCTCTATGGCTATTGACAAAGCTTTCGAGAAAGCACGTAAGAATGGAAGAATCCTCAGATAAAGAATTGTATATTGATTATTAGTGCGTGCTACGGTGAGTTAGAATGGATTACTTTACATTTTTCGTTACGTAAAAATAAATAAAGTATTTCTCTTAAAAAAGGTAAATTGAATTGAAATGATGGTTAATTTAAGCTAATCCAAGAAAAAACTACGATTATAAAATGTTAAGGTAGTTGTTAGAACAATGTCATCCTAATAAGATAAAAAGCTACAGTAACCTAAAATATGTCCTCGTTTTGGTACCTTTTTTCAAATATATCCTTCCACCAAAATTTTTTTTTGGAAGTTTCATACCAAGATTTCAAATTTTAAAAGTAAACCTTAATTTTTTAAATGGGATGCTAAATAAAATGATTATCAACTCAAATCTCTTAAATTTCTTTAAACTAAAATATCACTTCAAAATGCAAACTCCAAAAATATAAAAAAGATATAGGCAAAGAAATAAGGGCTCGAAAAAAAATAATGACTATGAACTTTATTTTAGAACCTAAATCTTCCAAGCTGTAAATTTCCTTCTTTTTTTTTTTTTTTTTTAATCATAAATTTTGGAAACTCTAGAATAAGAATTTTCTTTGAAAACCTAATCCCTTTCAACTCGTAAATTATCTTAAATAATTTCTTATCCGAAAACACTAGAAGCCGTATATAGACAGAAATAGAAACTTTTATTTTGAAAACCTAATCCCTATTATTGAGTAGCTATGCACTATCGGTATTCGAAAGGTTCAAGGAAACAAAAGTAGTGTCGGAGGATAAAGAAAGATATACGGCAAGAAACCACATACTCGTCAAATTAGATGAAATGTACGACGCCGAGTGTGTCTTCCTTCCTTGGTTGAATATTTCCAAGGTCTAGAGAGCGAAATATTCAACTCATTTATCTTGATTCTTTGTTGTTTATTTATTTTATTTCATCCTTTTTGGATGTCTTTTTTTTTTTTTTTTTTTGAATATTTTTATGTTTGGATTTGAACTAATTAATTAGTCTTCATGGGTTGTGGATTCTTATTAATTTTAGGTCATGGCCAAATAGGCCTAGGAGAAAGTAGGACTTAGAGTCCATGTGTGTTATGAATTAATTTGAATTCATTATTAATATGGACTAACATTTAAATCTTTTGCCGAATTAGTGTCCTAGTATGTTAGCATCTTTATGGTTTTTTTTAAGAGTTCGAATTTTGGTATTGAAATTAAACAAGCTTATTTTTCTCCGAAAAATTATGTGTTCCTTATGTCATATAGCAAGTGTGAACTTATCCTTGAATTGATCATCCAAGATGATATTTTGATCAACCATGTCAAACTACAAAAGTGCGATTTATTTTATCGTTGGAGCTCGTGTATGTATCTCCACATGAATCTTGACTTCTAAAAGGTTAGGTCTTGGTTTAAGATTGTTCTATTTATTAATTGAAACTTGTGGAATTGAAATTGATCGTAGAAAGTTTCAGCTTAATCCTAACTAAATAGGACTCGGCTTTCTTTGCTTTTTTGTGTAGAATTTTGACAAATTGAAATAAGGGCCTAAGATTGTAGGATTGATTTGAAATTTTAACCGCAACTTCATGTAGACTTCAACTAGATTGTATTAAAAGTTTAGAATTAATAGCCAAGAATTGCTAGGAATTTGGCATTGCTCAAGTTTTGGATTTAATGTGAGTTTGCTTGCTTGTTGTTTCAACATGATCGGGTTTTTGGATAATGTGTGGTTTAGCTTGTGCATTGCTTATGGATTAAAGTGTGGGTATTTGATAGTTTATTTTATTGGTTTGTTACTGTAAAAATATGAGAATAGGGCAATATGTTTTCTCTTATTGAAATGCATGAGTATAACACATATACATACAAGTCTAGGATCAGTCTAAATCCCTAGAATCAAGCTATCATTAACTTTCTAGAAATCAATCCTATAATTAACTTACTATATTTACATGAAAATCAATTTTATAGTTGACTTACTATATTTATAATACTCCCCCTCAAGTTGGAGCATAGATGTTAATCATGCCTAGCTTGTTACAAATATGATCAATCCTAGGACCCCTTAAAGCTTTGGTGAAGATATCACCTAGTTGTTCTCCGGTTCCGATATGACTTGTAAAGATCAATCCTTGTTGAATTTTCTCATGGATAAAATGACAATCGATCTCGATATGCTTAGTTCTTTCATGAAAAACTAGATTTGATGCGATATGAAGAGCAACTTGATTGTCACACCATAATTTCATAGGAAAAGGATTTTCAAGACCAATCTCATTTAACAATTGAGATATCCACACAAGTTCACACATGGATTAGGCCATTGCTATATACTCCGATTCTGCATTAGATCGAGACACGACATTCCGTTTTTTGCTTTTTCATGACACTAAATTTTAACCAACAAAGACACAATACCTCGTAGTATATTTTTTGTCAATCTTAGATCTAGCCCAATCTACATTTGAGAAACACTCAATACTGAAATGGCCATGATTACTATAGAGTAAACCACGCCCTAAAGTTCTTTTGAGATAACATAAGATCCGTTCTAATGCCGCCTAATGATTAACTCGAGGAAAGGACATAAACCGACTCATAATGCTAATAAGATATGCGATGTTAGGATGAGTTACTCGTGAGATAATTTAGTTTTCTAACTAACCTGCAATATCTTTCGGGATCAACAAATAACTCCCCATCATCCGTTGTAAGCTATAGATTAGTAGCCATTGGTACATTAGAAGGTTTAGCTCCTAATTTTTTTATTTTCTTTTCAATAGATCAAGAATATACTTTCGTTGAGAAAGAAAAATACCCTTCTTGGACTCAGTAACTTCAATACCTAAGAAATACTTTAATAAACCCAAGTCTTTTGTTTGGAATTTAGTATGGAGAAAAGATTTAAGGGCTAAAATACCAAGCATCATTACTATCGGTAATCACAATATCATCAACATATATAATTAACAAGATAATACCAATTTCTAACCATTGGTAATAAACGAGTATGGTCACAAGTACTCATTTTCGGATCAAATTCTTAAACTACAAAACTAAGTCACCCAAACCAAGCACGAGGACTCGTTTTAACCCATACAAAAACCTTTAAAGTTTACGAGACTTTTCCATACTCCCTTTGAGCAACAAACCCGGATGGTTGCTCCATATAGACTTTCTCTTGTAAATCATTATGAAGGAGAACATTCTTAACATCTAAGCGATGTAAGAGCCAATCATTAGTAGCAACGAAGAGAGATAAACAAACGGACGGATGCAAGTTTGGTAACCGAAGAAAAAGTATCAAAATAATCTACACCATATGTCGAACATACCCTTTTGTAACTAATCGAGCTTTGAGACGAGCCACGTAACCGTCGAGATTAACCTTGACAACATACACCTATTTACAACCAATAGTCCGTTTACCTTCAGGAGATGAACCAATTCCTAAGTACCATTATCAACTAAATTTATCATTTCCTCCTCCATAGTAGTCCACCAACCAAGATGGGATAAGGCCTCATATAATATTTTAGGTACAAAAACTGAATCTAACGAAGCAATAAAGCAACGTAAAGAAGGAGACAAGTGATCATAGGAAGCAAATGAAGAGATAGGATTAGAATAATACCATTTACCTTTACGAGGAGCAATGGGAAGATCAAGATTAGGATCCATAGAGGAAGAGCTGATAGAAGATGTGAGTCTTGATTTGGTTATAGATCTCGTGGATGAGTATGACGAGAATAAACTTGAGTGATAGATGGCTTAATGGGTATATGAGATTTAATAGCT